ACACACACACACACACACACACACACACACACACACACACACAGCTGTTTGGAGATCTTAAAATTAAGGTACCTGTAAACCAGCGATTTTCACATTTTATTTCTGTTCTTAACCATGAATTAATTCAAGAACATGTCAGTGGACTCTTCTGGAAAATCCCAAGGTGTAAAAGCAAAGCAGACCTAGAGCTTTGTTCCCTGACACACCAGGGTGGCCCCTAAGATGCCCCTGCAAACCCCAACATGGAATCCGCTCACCATCATTCCTCAGATTGTTGAGGTGACACAAGTATCATTTCAAGGGGCCACCCTGCCCTGGGAACCATCCCCTAGGGAGCCCATCCACTGTGCCTCGGACACTTCAGCTGATGCATGCCTTGCTCTAAACCTTCATCCCCTCCCTTTCTCCTCCCCTCTCTGGTCCTCATATGTCCCCCAAAGCCTGTGGAATGACCCGTACCCATCTTTTGCCTAACAGTGTGTGCACACTGAAAACTCAGGACCAAAACGCTTCACCCAGCCTGAGTCAGCCAGGTTGGGCAAGGCTGTCCCAAAGATGCATCCGGTTGAGGCTGCCAGGCTCTGTCAGCATGGTTGTATGGCAGCCCCGGCACACTTCATTCCAAAACAGTTCCATCACCTGTTGCCTGTACCCCGAGGACTTTATTCTGAAGTGATATTCTGTAACTAATGGTCTGGAGTTCAAATGATGCATTTTAAATTTCACTCCATTATCATTGCAGTGGATGGACGCAAAAGGGAGAAGGTCACTTTAGGGCCTAAATTCATTGGTAGTAAGCAGTGGGACAGGCCACCCGACGTCATGAGCCTAAAGTACTTAGAAAGTGGGAGGGTTCTGATGAGATGAAGGAGACAGTTTTGTCCCCAGAATGTCACACATCCCACAGTGACTCTCCTGGTCCTCTCTGCGATGGCTGGCATTCTTGAAATTCAGACGAGAGTGATGGGAGCAAAAAAGCAGAGCGTGTGGTGTGCCCTGGAGAGCACCGGAAGCTGCTCTAGGCCCCCGCCAAGAAACGGCTTCAGAATGACCGCTTCTTGGGTTCTTAGCTAGAGGTGTGTATCGGAAGCCTGCAGGGAGCCGGTTCAGAAGGCACAGGGCCCGCCTGGTTCTGGAAGGCCCAACAGCCGTCAGTCCGGGTCAGGATCTTCACACACATAAAGGTGCACTCATGTGCACAAGTGTGTGTGTGTGTGTGTGTGTGTGTGTGTGTGTGTGTGTGTGCGCACATGCGTGTGCATCGTGCAGTTCTCCGGGTGGTTCCCGTGGCCGTCCCCTGGCCAGTTGTGGTTGCTTCTCTCCTGGTGCCTCGGGGGCCACCTTTACAGGCCAGACTGCCTTTGCTTTTGTTGCCTTTATGTGTACAGCGGTGATCCCTGCTTTTAAATTTCTGGTGAAGCAGCAAAGGTCCCCATGAGCCATAGAGGAAGGAGCCCCCAACCTCGGTATCTGGCCAAGTTAAATTCACTGATTTGGCAGGAGGTAAGATGTCAGAACAGCATGGTTTTGTTTTTCATTTTTAGAAAATCGGCAACTTTTCCATTGTGCGGCGGCTGGGCGTGCAGGAGTGCATTCTTCTTGTCACTCAGCGCATAACCAAATACCCCGTGCTGGTGGAACGTATCATCCAGAACACGGAAGGTACAGTCGCTGCCTTGCCCATCGGTGCTTTGGGTGTGGTCTCTGTTGTCCTGTACCCTATTTTAACCATGCGTTGGATATGTGCTCCTCTATGATTTGCCCTTGGTTCTCTGGATGCTGCTGGGCTCGGCGATCATTAACTAAGCTGTCACCATGCAGAATCATTGTGGGGGTGCTGGGGCTTCCAGCCAAGAAAGATGGGAACGGGGCTTCACTGACTTGCTATTACCCCAGCCCCTGGCACAGGCTGGGCCATAGCAGGTCAGCATCTAAGGAGTGGATGAGTGATAGAGCAAGTGCCCTTGTTGGGTCACTTCTGAGTGATCCAGATAGCCAGAGATGGCTCCCATGTTTATGAGCAGTGCCACAGCATGGAGGGCAGAAGAGAAGGGGCACATGGCCCAGCTGGGAGTTCTCAGAGGCCAGGGCAATGCTGACCACACCTCCCTTGTGTCCAGGGGATTTGGGCAATGAAGGGCACACCCCTGGAGAGGGAGGAGCCAGCTCTTGGTAACAGCAGGAGGCGGAGGGAGTGTTAGGGAGAGCTGGAGGGCGCAGGGAGTCTGTTAACCAAGGAGTGGCCATTACATTTGTCACTGAATTAATTGCACCTTAGCTTCTGCATTCAACAGAAGCTCTGTGTTGGTAAAAAAAATGCTGGACTGTTGCATTTATTTTGGAGAAGCATTTATATCTGGGGAGATTCAAGTTGGAAGGCAATTCCGAGGGTCCTCTGAGCAGTGGCCTCAGGGAACCCACCTCAGACCCCGTTGTGTGCCCACCTCTGTCATGTTTGTGAACGTGGACACAGGAAAGCGCTAAAACTCTACTGTGTTGGCAGCTGGCTCCGAGGACTATGAAGACCTGACCCAGGCCCTGAACCTCATCAAAGATATCATCTCACAAGTGGACGCCAAGGTCAGCGAGTGCGAGAAAGGCCAGCGCCTCAGGGAGATCGCAGGCAAGATGGACCTGAAGTCCTCCAGCAAGCTGAAGAACGGGCTGACCTTCCGCAAAGAGGACATGCTGCAGCGGCAGCTCCACCTAGAGGGCACCCTGTGCTGGAAGACCACATCCGGGCGCTTGAAAGGTGAAGCTCTGCCCTTGGCCCCCTCTGGAGGGGGCCTGCTTGGATCAGTGGCCCCTTCTTGGATTGATACCACTATCTAGAAGTAGCGGGTGTCCTCTGGATCCATGGGCACTATTTTGGGTTTGTGGGTGCCAGCTGGCGCAGAGCCGCTGCTTCATGGCTGAAAGGAGTTGTGTGCTGAGTCAGGATGAGCATAGGCAGCCACTGTGTAGTGAGAATGAGACCCCAGCCCCCTCCTCTTCCAGTTTCTGAGGTGGTGTGGCGCACACTGAGAGGGCCACTGGATGAAGAGAGCACGGGGAGTCATTGCCTTCTCAGCAGAATCCCAAAGCATCTTGAGGCCCCAGGTTTCCGAAACAGCTGTAACAGCCGTGCCTACAGTGGACCTAACCACTGACAGCCCGGTGTGGGTAGAAAACGCCACCCGAACTGCCGACTTCAGTGTCCCCGAGCATCCCAGTCACTGCTCAGGGTGTGCTCCGATCCTGGCTTCCAGAATCCATGGTGTAGTCCAGACCAGCGAGCGCTCGGGACTCATCAAAGTCTCCTGTCCATTTCATGAGCCTCCGAAACGTGCTGACCTGTCCACTAGCATCGGCATCTTTAAAGGTCTTTAGGGGAGTGGCCAAATCTTCAGGTGGCCAAATGGCAGAATGTGTTTGTTTATTTTGCGTGACGTGTGCCCTGCAGATACAGTTCAACACCTCCTGTGTGCCAGGCCCCCAGGCGGGTGGAGCAGGCAGAGAGAGAAAGTAGTAAACAGAAAAATAGCAAAAAGCACGGTAAATGCTTTTAAGGAAGCCAGCAGGCTGCAGTGCAAGAGCATTACCCCAAAAGAAGGCATCTGGTTGAGATGGGGTCCGAGGAAGCTCCCGAGAAGTCAGTGTTTATGCTTCCTGCGACATGAGCACTCCTGTTGGAAATGCAATTCACGATTTGCTTTTCCAAGTGGAAAAGCTCTGCCATGCGGGTGGCCGTGAGATGTCCCTACAGGGACAAGGCACCCAATCTGCTGCCACCAGGAAGCTTGGGCACGAGGAGGCAAGAGCATGTCCCTCCAGTAGGAGGCAGGATGTGAGCGTCCAGCGGCTCAGGTCCCAGGTGACCGGGGGGCAGGAAGAACGGATGGTGATGAGTTCACCTTTGAGAAATCACAGTGAGAGATTCTCAAAGACCACACCGAGCCGGCACCATTACAGCAGGAGAACATCAGGGCACAGTGGCCTGGCAGCGAAGTGGGAGGTGCTAAGGGACCTCCAAGAGGAGACTAGTAGTCAGTGTTAAATGGTGAAACCCGGGGAGGTGGTAGGAAGGTGAGAGGTGAAAAGAAACACTTAGGCTCATGCGGAGGCGTCATGGTGCTGGGCTGAGAGTGACGGGAATCCCCGTGGTGCTGATGGCCTCCTGGGGTTCCGTGTCTGCCCTGCTGCCCAGCACGACCCACGTGGCCATATCCCCCCATACATTTCCTCCTGTGCTCGCTCCTTAGACGTCCTTGCTGTCCTGTTGACCGACGTGCTCTTGCTGCTACAAGAAAAGGATCAGAAATATGTCTTTGCTTCTGTGGTATGTATCCCCCTCTTCGTAGAAGGGCTGCTATAAAGCTGCCTGCACAGAAGGCGGCTGGACGGTGGGGGCGGCCAGTGGTGCTGCATCAACGACAAGTTGGGAATGGTACAGAACAAGGCAGCTAGAAAAGCACACCTGGGTAACTTACAGATGTGCTTGGTTGTTCTGGGTCCTCCCAAAGGCCAGAAGGTTCCAGCAAGGCAGCAGAATTATCTGAGAATGGAAACAGTGGAATTTTGCTGTCTAGTTGCCTGACTAGGCTTCAGGGGCTCATGCTAACATCCTCTCCAGTTTCCGCCTCTGCATTTCTGTGGCTCTTTCTGTCACAAGTGCTCAGGTTCTCCCAAGCCCCAGCATCCTGGGCAGGGGAGCCCCTCCATCCCTCCCAGGACACGAGCTCAGGCAGCTGCCATCCTGCCTGTGTGCTGTCACCATGTTGACCCCACAGCATGCTGGTCCCAGAACACCCTTGTCATGGGAGCCACGCCTGCCGTGAGCTCTCATGAACTTGGAGTCAAGCTGGGATGCCAATCATCCCTCCTGGCCCGTGTCCACTGGGGATGTGGCCTCCCCTGCTCACCTAGGTGACCCCAGTCCTTCAGCTTCTAACAGCACAGAGCTCACTGCAGAGGTTGGGTGTCAGGCCCTCCCCCCATGGGTACCCGCTGCTGAGGGGCTGAAAGAACTGGTTTGCCTCCAGCTTCAGCTGGCAAGGACGGCAGCCTCTGTGACTAAACTAGAGACCATGTACCTTTCCCAGACATTGTAGAGCTTCTCGAGGTTTCCCAGCATCGCAGACAGGGTCAGGCTGCTTCATCAAACCATTGTCTCGTCTTGACGCTAGCACACCCGTGTGATGGGACGCGATAAGCTGCTAGGCCATCTGCACCCTGTGTCCCCACACGGTCGTCCCCGTGCGTGTCTGTGTCCTGATCTCGTCTTGTAAGGACACCAGTCATGTCGGATCAGGGCCACCCACATGGCCTCGTTTTGCCTTAATCACCCCTGTAAAGGCCCCATCTCCAAACACAGTCACATCCTGAGGTCCGGGGGGTGCAGGCTTCAACATAGGAATTTGGGGGGAGGGGACATAATTCAGCCCATAACAACCAGTTAAAAATGTGTGTTTTACTGGTTCATCTGGAGCATATCTCTGGGGGACACACAAACTGGGAATACTGATTGGCTCTGGGTGTTTGGGCACAGTGTCAAAAGGAAGAGTTATTTGTTATTATATACTATCTACTCTTGCTTCTTTTGAGTTTTGTACCATGGACATTCGTTACTGATCGTAAAACACATTTGCTTAAGCATGTCAAACGGACACATGGCAATAGTATCATGTTTCCTCAGATGGTAAAATATTTCTGCTTTGAATTGTTTGTAAATGAGTGGGGCACCCTGCAGTAGGGTAGAAGGTGACCCTCCCCACCGTGTTTCACCCCGCAGGACTCAAAGCGCCCCGTCATCTCGTTACAAAAGCTCATTGTGAGGGAAGTGGCCAACGAGGAGAAAGCCATGTTTCTGATCAGCGCCTCCCTGCAAGGGCCCGAGATGTATGAGATTTATACCAGCTCCAAAGAGGAGAGGAACGCCTGGATGGCCCACATCCGAAGGGCTGTCGAGAGGTGAGCAGGGCCATGTGCCTGTGTTCCCTCTACTGGCCGTTTGCCCTTGGCTTTGATGGTTGTCACATTGGCGGTGACCTTGAAGTGCCTGAAGGCGCCGGAGGTGACAAGCAGACAGGAGACCCTTTGCTTTTCCTCTCTCTTTCCACCTTGGTGCTTTGTCCATCCTTCATCTAAAGGAGAACAGATGGCACCATTCGAGCTCCTTCTGACAACAGCTCAACCCGTCAGATGTTAAAAGGGCCCCGATGTCTCTGGCCAGGGGACATAGGGCCAGGCAACTCGAACCTCCTATATTGGTGGGACATTCCACCTGACACACAGGTTGTCCCCGTCCCCCCAGTCCTGGGCCAGACCTGTTGGAGCAGGTCATGACATCCTGTCCTTCCTCCTTGGGCCAGGGGACCCTTCAGGACCCCACCCCAGTGGCTCTGAGTGATGTCTGGCTCCCTGTCCACCTGACAGACAGGAAAAGGTGACCTGGCCCCATGGCCAGCCAGCTTGGAGCTTCCTCCATCCTCAGCTTCAGCTCTGTTGGGCTTGCAGCCTCCTGTACCCAGCAGGTCCCCAGGAAACAAGCTGTCCCCAGTCTCCTCCAAGTGGTGACCAGGCATTTAAAACCTGTGGCTGGTTACATCCCAACCCTGAGACTGGATAAATGCTAATGCTGTCTTTCTCTTCTCCCTCCTTTTCCTCCTGCACCATTAACAAACTAAATCCATCACAAAATGAGACACTCTTAGCAGCTGGTTTTGCAGACAAGCCTCTCAGTGCCCACATCAGAGGTCAGGCAGCCCAAGAGGCATTTTCACCCATCTGTCTGTCCCCTGTCCCTGCAGCTGTCCGGATGAGGAGGAGGGGCCCTTCAGCGAGGCCGAAGAGGAAAGGAAGGTGGTCGAGGCCCGCGCCATGAGGCTGAGGGACTTCCAAGGTAAGGGCAAGTCAGTCCAGACCTCCGTGCCCACAGATGTGTCCCCCATGTGGTGGTGACCAGGCATTTTGCTGTGGGCTGCCTCATGCCCTGCAGCTCTGTGGAGCATTTGCAGCATGAAGCAGTGGTCTTCTGGAGGGCGTGTGGGAGAGGAAGGGGTGGCACTCGGGGCCCCTGAGCCCCTTCCTAACACAATCGCTTAGCCCCACACACTGCTCCCTTCCCCTGGTCCTTGTTCAGGGAGATGCTCGATGTGGGTGTCGCAGGTCACATAACAGCACTAGCACAGGACCCCCACAGCCTCCTAGAGCCAGGCAGACCAAGACCAGCCCTGGCTTTGTGGCCAGGGATCTCAGCTTCACACCATATAATTCATCCTTTTAAAGTATCCTATGCAATAGCTTTTATCACACTATCACAGCCCCTACCAAATCAATTTTAGACCATTTTCATCGCCCAAAAAAGAAACCCTGTCCCTATTAGCAGTCACTCCCCATTCCTTCCTCCCCCAGCTGCTGGTAACTTCTCATCTACTGTCTGTCTCTATGAATTTGGCTATTCTGGAGACCTCATATAAGTGGAGTCATGAAATATATGTCCTTTTGCATCTGGCTTATTTCATTTAGCATGATATTGTCAAGGTTCATCCTCGGAGAAGGTGTCAGCTTCCTCCCTTTTTACCGATGAATAATATTCCATTGTGTGGATGTAACATATTGTGCTATCCATTCTCCTTCCCAGTTTTAACAGCATCCTGTGAGATTTCAGCAAGGTCATTGCCAAGAACAATTCCTAGTACTTTATGATTTCTATCAGCTTCCTCTTCCCTCTCACTAACTGCATTGTTTTAAGTTAGGTAACATTTAAGCATTAAATACATAAAATCAGGTAGTATATACTTTATTTCTCTTTGTGGGGAGATGCATGTTTGAAGGTATTAATAAAAATGTCCAAAAGGAAGGGGGAAATCCCACTGGACCCTGGAAGCGTAATCCTAACACAGTCTTCATTTCATCCCATTCTTACTCTTTCTTTCCTCCGAACGGTAGTGAAATCTATGTCCGTCCTACATGGATACCACAGTGACACAATAATAATGCCCATTCATCACTCATTCCCAGCAAGATTCTTAGTGAATTAGAAATACAAAGATATTTTCTTTATCAAGATATTCTTTCCCATCTTTGATCAAAGACTGAACTCACCCTAACTTTGAAACATCCAGGACACTCCCATCAATCAGGAGCCAGGCAGGGCCACCCACCCTTGGTTATTATCTTCCTCCTAGAATTTCCAGCCAGGGTAGTATGGGGAGAAATAGAAGAAAGATATGATTGGAAGGCAGGCAACAGAATTATGTTTTGCATATGACATGACTATTTGTCTACAAAATACAATAGAATCAACTGGAAAATGATTGGAACTGGTAAGCGTGATTAATCATTTAGCTGAACGTAATGTAGCTCTACTAAAAATCACCAGTGAGAAGGTCTAATAAAATAAGTTGCAGTCACAGCAGCCAAAAAAGCATAAAACCAAGAAACTTGTAAGAAGGAGTTTGACCTAAAGGATTAGAAAACTATTGGGTTGTCGGAAAAGTCATGACACATGTTTGCGACAGATGGCACTAGTTCACTTTTGGAAGTACTAGAGTCATTCGCATCTATGTTATTGCTATGTCATTTGACAGCTGACAGTTCTAGCTTCATTCTAAAAAAAAGATTGAGCAATTTGGTTGAGTTTTGGAGATTTTACAAGTTGAAGATGGAAGACCAAACTGTGCATTTTTGCCATATTCTACTGTTTTACTTCCATAAAGGAAAGAACACACGTCAAGCTTATGAAAAGTTGCATAAAGTTTACCGTGACAATCCTCTACAAGAATGTCAGTGCCAACGATGGTTCATGAAATTCCATGCTGGTGATTTTGATCTCAACGACGCTCTTCGGTCAGGGAGGCCCACTGAGGTTGATGATGACAAAATAAAGGCATTGATCGAGTCAAACCCACGTTACCCGACACGAGAGATTGCAGAAACATTGAACATCCATCATTCAAGCATTCACGACCACCTGAAGAAGCTGGGATACGTAAACAAGCTCGATATTTGGGTTCCGCATGAACTCAAAGAAGTTCATTTGATGGTGCGTCTAAACATCTGTGATATGCTCACTAAACGTGAGGAAAATGATCCTTTTTTGAAGCGACTGATAACTGGTGATGAGAAGTGGATTGTTTACAACAATGTGGTGCGCAAATGGTCTCGGTTCCGACGTGATGATTCGCCTCAAGTGACATTGAAAGCAGACATTCATCAGAGGAAGGTTATGCTCTCAGTGTGGTGGGATTTTAAAGGTGTCATGTTTTTCAAGCTCCTACCAAGGAACCAAACAATCAATTCGAATGTGTATTGTCGGCAGTTGGACAGTTTGAATGAATCCATCATTCAGAAATGTCCAGAGGTTGTTAATTGTAAAGGAGTTGTGTTCCATCACGACAACGCGAGACCACACGTGAGTTTGATCACCCGTCAAAAATTATTGGAGCTTGGATGGGCTGTGTTGCCACACCCACCATACTTGCCTGACCTTGTGCCATCAGACTTCCACTTGTTTCTCTGTCTTCAAAACTCCTTGCATGGTATAACATTCAATTCATATGAGGCTGTAAATCAGCACCTTGTTCAGTTTTTTGCAAATAAAGACAGGTCCTTCTACGAATATTGAATTATGAAGCTCACTGAAAGATGGCAAAAGGTTATTGAACAAAACGGGCAATATATCATTGATGATCTTTGTTGTTTATATAAATAAATGACCTTTGAAAAACATAGACAAAATACGTCATGACTTTTTACGACAACCCAATAAGACTTACAAAGCTTTCAGTTTGTCCCCAACTAATAAATCAGGCCTGTTATAGTCTCACCACACCCCACTGTGTTTGATATTTACAATTGGGGGAAGTCATCAGAAGGCAGGGCCAGGCCCTCACCACTGCCTCTCAGCAAGTTTGGATCAGCGGGGATCCCTGAGGCCAGCCCCACCCTACAAGGGCCCCCCAGCACCTGCAGGCTCATGGGGAATGATCCCAGACAACAGTGACACCACGTGGCTTTGCAGAGCGACTGAACCTGAAGGACCAGCAGATAGCTCAGAGCCTCAGTGAGAAGCAGCACATCTACCTGGAGATGGCTGAGATAAGCGGACTGGAAGACTTGGCTCAGTCGCGACTCCTCTTCCGAGGAGGGGATCCCTCAGAAAACCTGCAGGGGGAGCTGATCCTCAAGTTGGCCATGACTGAGAGTAAGTAGCCGGGCCCTGGTGTCCTCATAGGGCGCTGCCCCCATCCTGAGCCACAGTCCTGCCTGGGTGGCCTCCTCAAGGGACCCTAGGCCAGGCACACAACCCAGTGTGACTAACTCGCCATCCTGTCTAGGGCACGCTTCTTTCTATCTAGGTGAGCAGCCATGCGCCCGAAGCAGCGCTGACCTCCCCCCCCCCCCCCCCCCGCCCCCCCTGACGCCTGCTAGAGCCGGAAGGTCCTTAGACATGACCTGGTGCAAGCCCCTCATTGCAGACTTAAACCTCCTTCTCTCATATTCGACAGACTCCTTCCAATCCTGCCTCATGCGAGGCACCACACTGGGACCCTGGGATCTGGAGTCAACCGAGATGGCTTCCTCACATTCAAGACATTCCTCTTCTTTATAAGAAGTGGATCACTTATGATATAGCCAGAAAAATGCACACAGACAGTTAGTGGGTCATTTCAGAGGGCTTCTGGGCCCGAAGCCACCCTGGGCCTGAACCGCATACCCAGTGGGAAGATGCACCAGCAGCCACGGGAGGGCGCTAGCCAGTAGGTGGCCTGCCGCCCGTGTACACCCTGCCCAGACCGGCTTCACCGAGCAGTCAGGGTCTACACCAGAGCCCCTGGCAGCCTCCATGCAGCTGCTGGGCCCCGTGCTCACCAGGGTATGTGTCAGGCCAGGTAGCCAGTGTTCATTCGGTCCAGGAGAATGGCAGCATCCCTCTTTTCAACAGCAAACAAGACAGACACAGCCCCTGCCTCCAGAGCTTCCCTTCAGAGTGAACAGAACAGAGCAGAGGGGTCCCATGTGGACTCTGCCCCTGCTTTGCCTGCCACAGCCATGTTCTCCTTCCTCACGCTTCTCCAGTGGACGTTGTCCTTGGCCCCAAGAGGCCCTCTCATGTCCTGTGCCTCGGCCTGGAATGTTCTTTCTGCTTCCTCTCCTGACCAAAGTCTGTCTGTCTTAGAGTGCTTTGTGTGACCAGCCCTGTACCCGAGGCCACCGACATTCTGTATGACCGTTGTCACAAAAGCAGTGGCCACACCAAGTTACCTACTAGACCCAGGCCTAGGACACCTGTCCACATGCTGCCCCAAGGGCTGGCCTCCTGCAGACACAGACCGGCCTGACCTGGTCGCAGTACCTGTGCAGGGAGGGCACAAAATCAGAGTCACCCACTTCAGGGGATTGGGAGGGGGTGACCAACACCCCACAGACCTCTGCACTGGGCCCTGCAATACCCTGATGCCCACAGCGTGGCTCCGAGGGTAACTGGGTCCCTCCTGTGTCCTTTCACAGTTGAGGACATCCAGAGCCTGATCTGTAGGCGGCTGGGCAACACCAACAGCCAGGCGGAAGATGGAGGCGGTTCCATGGGCCTGTGCCGGAGG